ATATATTTATATGTGAATATTTATATACGTACATTCATAACAAGTTTGCATATCTTCACGTGGATCAAAGTATTTCAATATCTACGTGTGAAATAGAATGATACATGATTGTTGTTATATGTTAACCATGCCCGCTATCTAGGTAGTATAAAACAAATTGTCGCATCGTATCCCCCGCATATTTCGACGAAACCTTGTGATATGCCTTGTGTTTACAAATTTACATTCGAGACATTATGTATACCGGAACGGAAAAACTTCACAGCTGAGAATCTATAGATGAAAAGCTTTACAATATTTTAACTATTAATCACCCAGTTCATGTGGTGTTTCTGAGCACATGAAGATAAATGCAACGTTTAACCATAATAAATGCTATATGGCACCTGTCTTGATACTAGAAGGCATTGTTCCCACCAAATGCAAAACAAATTCGATATGAAGTAAGCAGTGAAAATGAGCCAATAAAGTGCCCGCATCGAGCTTGGTGCTGACAATTGAATCACTAGAATCGACATTTAATTCAGCGGCTGTATAATACATTCCGTATGAATGCACATAGCGCGCCAAAGTGCAGCTCCACGCACTCAATTCCCATACAATACATCAAAATTCGTTGCCCACTGGGGCAACAAGGTCAATACCGGTCGTAGTCTGATGCGCATAATTCCTACCAGCTGCCGTTGCTCTGTATATTTATCGTACAAACCACATCAACTCAGCCACTCAATCTGGAGTAAATTCCACAAATTCCTTGCCACAATTGCTAACTGATACACACCAAACCGCTCATCTGATCATTTTGACTCTCAACACATTTCCGATAGGCCCGCACATACACACACCTTCAGCACCTCCCTTCTCATCCCCATAAACACATATTCATGGGCTTATCATTGGAAAGGATCGAACTCGTTATTGGCTCCCTTCGACGGTCGTCGCTGTTGTCTCGCCGTTGGCGGTTTAGGCGGGATATGTGGGACGACCGAAGCATGTGCGTGCGCGGGGAGGCTGGGTGGTGGCAATGGCGGAGGTCCTCTACTACTCGAATCGCGGTGCAAGTTCTTCTCACTCCCGATTTGCAAACCTTTCACAGAGTGCAGTAACGCGCCGTCGGAAGGTCCGCCAGATCGTGTTCTCTGAACGGTCATTTCATTCCCACTGGTCAATCCATGACCATGGCTATGGCCCTGTCCGTAAGGGTATGTGTGCTGCGAAGATGCGTTAGCAGGCTGCACAGGTCTTGGATAGTGCGTTCCGCTATTGCTACGACTTGGAGTGGCGCTACTACTAGCACTACTTGGCCGTTGGTATCCACTCGTTCTCGGGGGTAGTACGGGTCGGTTAATGCCTGTAACTTGCGATCCGGCCTCACCCAGGCCCAAGAGATCCACGTCGCTCTGCAGCATACCGTTATTCGGTCCGCTACTGGTATATGCAGAGCTATCTAGCACGTTACTTTGGTTGCTATGTGAAGTGACATTACTAGGTGCCGAGTCGCTTGCGCCTGTCCATGCACTGAAGGGATCGAAAGCCCCCGGTCCCGAGGCTGCGCCAAAGATGTCTTTCACAGCTTCGGTGTGCTGCGGTTGCACATTGCTTTTATCCAACCCCAGCAGATCAATTGTCGGCATCTGCGTGCGAGCATCCGAGGATGCATGAGATGTCTGTCCGGCACCTCTGTGTGTTGGTAGGAGATCAATCAGCGCATCTCCGGGCACACGTGTTTGACTCTCGGTACGACTGCGTTGGCTGCTGGTACTACCGTTACGCATGGGCTGATGTATGTCACTACTATGGCGCTGAGACACGGGCGAGCGCGCAAACTTCGCGTCAATGTTAGGCGAGTGCCGGGATGGGGGTGCCTCAGTTAGTGGACGTGGAGGTGGTAACGAGCCCTCAGTAGAAGGCCTACTCATCAGACGGAACGCACCGTTTCGGCTGTCTGTGCTTCCGCGAGAGTCTCGCTGGGTCAAAGGACTGGTATTCTCACTGCTAATCTGTGACTCCTCTATTCGCCTACGAGCATTGTTCACGGAAGTCTTGACATTGGACGAAAAGGCACTGAATGAAGGGCCCAGGCGCGCTTTGCTTTTGCGCATCGTCACCATCATCTTGCTCTTATACACCGCCATCCGCTCGGCGTTGAGATCTGTGCCACGATTGCCACACTCGTCAAATTCATACTCAAACAGACAGTCGTACACCCACCAGCGCGGGAGAATCAGCTTCCCCGATATCGAATCTTTGACAAACCGGGTCATACGTCGGGTAGATCCCTTCGAGGGTACACACATCAGCTCCACACGCCCGTCGATAAACTGATGGAACATCTGCAGATCTAACAACTGTGTGAGAAACGGTTGCAAGCCCTCGGGTTTAGAGGCCAAGAACGCCTCGCGGTTCATTTCTAGAACCGGCCGTGTATTGGGTGATCCAGAGGCTACCGGTGATGATGTGATGCGCGCATTGTTGGGAACAGGAGAGCTTCCACCGTCCCCGCCCGCCACCGCGCTAGAGGCTGCGTGCGCTGCAGCTGCGCTTTTACTTATGGTGATGAAGTCTCGGTAGCTTCCAAACAGGTAGAGGAATAAATCCAGGAAAATGCGTGCAAAATTGTCGTCCATCGATGTCTGGGGTTTCTTGATGTTCGCCTCCAGTACAGCAACGAGCTCAGGGGGTAGCAGCGCCACATCATTGGTCCAGGTTCTTACTATTTGTTCGTCTAAGTCACAAAACACCACTTCTTCGAGGTCTAATTTCAACACTCTAGGCATCAGAGACTTGTGCACACCCACAAGAAAAGGCATTGGCGCGGTGACATAGTCTAGCAACTGCTCTGGGAGCACGGGGATGAAAATATGTTGCCATGACAATGGATACAGCAGGGTGTTGAGCGCATTTGCGGAAGCCGTGAGTACCGATAGCCGGTCAGATGTAAGAATGATGCGCCTCTCTAGTAGAAGTGAGGTAAATAGAGACAGCATCATGTCTATCTTCACCTTATTGAAGAAGGTGGTGAGGTTTAGGTTGTGAGGCATAGACGGTAGCAGGCGTGTATTGGGAAACAGTAAGCGGCACGTCTGTCCCCTCGGCGTACACCGAACACTACCCCCGCTCTCGGGTACTTTCTGCGCCAGTAGTTCGGTCATAAATATCTGAACCATGTCCAGACTGTCATCCCACATGTCTAGCAGCACATCCAACACCTGATCAAAGAACTCGACCTGGGGCAGATAACTAAGCACACAGAAACATAGTGTGATAGATGTGCCTGGTTCCTTGACATACCTACAATAGCCAAACTGACGCTGACCTTTATCGTCTGTGAGCGCCAATGTAAACGTGCCAGAGTCATCTATCACGGGAGTGCTGTAAGTACCCCCTTTCCCTCCTTTGCCATACGGAAAACAGAATTTGGGCAGTTCTGATGCAAAGCTTTTGCCCTCCACTTCACTGTCGTTTAAATGTTGGTATATATAGCAATCCTCGGGTTTCTCGAGGTAGTTTATGATATAGAAGTTTTGGAATATGGTCTTCACATCCTGCAGCGGACGCAGGCGTGGATCTACATCCAATGATCGCGTGCACATTACCGCAAGACCCACCAAGAAGACCTTTGATTGTGAGATTCCAAGACTCGCCGAGGGTACCCCTTTTAACAATTGTCAATGCGCAATTACAACGCTGCCTGTGACTAACCCAGCCCAAATACTCAGCAATCCCAGTACATATGAAACCCCAAAATAAAGTGAGATTAAATTTCAGTCTTCTCCGCAAAAATCAAGTATGGCCCTAATTTGCTATTATGTAAAAGGTGCCCGGAACGCCGTGTTACAATGCCTTGTTCAGTGGCGGTGGTGGTTGTTCCGGTTCGCTGTTGTGAATTTTAACGAAGTATTTTTTTTTGCTGCAATGTCAACAAGACCGCTAAACTGTAATGATATTCAGGTATAAAAACCTAGAAACAGTATAATTAGGAGAACGCAACGTGCAGATACGGTGTCACATTCTATCTCAGATTCCACCAACGCCGTGAGTTATAGTTGGATGTAGCAATGAATCCAGATAAACACTGTACCTATTCAGTCATGTAGTCTTAACAATCAAGTTTCAATAGCATGCCTATTAATCCATACTCGAGCTGAAACCTGTAGACTACTAAGTGCCCTTATGCGTCTGCTGAAACCTGCAGACGACTACGAGTTTCACGCGTCTGGTATTCACCTCGGAATCTCCAGATTGCAGAGTCTTGCTTGCAGAAAATAAAATCTCTGTGATCACTGTGATGATAGAACACAAATCTATAAAATAAATTAAAATAATTTACGAGCGTTTATCACAAAAAATATATATAGAAAAACCTAGTTGAACCCACAAATACTGTAGTTTTTCTTCTTTTTTTAGATTGTATTTTGGCGCCAATCTGAAGGTTATTCTGAGATTCTCTCGTCCCCTCACGGCCTCACAGGCTCACAGGCTCACAGGCTCACAGGCTCACAGGCTCACAGGCTCACAGGCTCACAGGCTCACTCCCCTGTGACTAACTATGTGAGCCTCTGAGTCTGAACTCTGAAGGCCCTGACTGAGCCTCTGACTCTGGACTTCTTTTATTCTGAAGTCTTGTTGAGGCTCTGTCGCTCTGTGCCCAGACTCCCCTGAGCGGGCTGAGCCTCTGGGTATGAGGCGACTCTGAGTGACCCTGACTGGCTGACATCGTGACACCCCCAGTCTGAAAGTTTGACATAGAATATTATTTGAAGTTATTTTACCCACCATGACCATACAGTGATAAGCAAGTCTTTGCTGTGGACTTAGGGGCAACTTAATACTTAAACACTACCTGTCCCTAAAGTGTAATTCTGACATATAAAGTACACTTTAGAGCCTATTGTAGCTTTTCATACCACAATGGAGGCCATATACGAGTCATATCCTGGTCGCGAGGATCAGCTCACTTCACTCACCGCACTCTTGGGGTACCCCGAGGGCCGTCCGTCACATGTATTCGTGTACGGACAGCCATCTGTAGGTAAGACCGCAGTCACACGCACCGTGGTCGAGAGCCTAGATTCAATGCATGCGTATGTTGATTGCATAGAGTGCTTCACACCCCGCATGGTATACGAGCGAGCTGCTACACAGCTATATAGTCAGCTCGCACACAGAGGATCACACGCACATGACGTAGCCAAAGTGAGATGCACAAACCTCGATGAGTTTTGTGCACGCTTAACGGAGATAAGCAGCATAGCGACATTCAGTGGGATTAGTACGACATTTGGACCTGATACGCCTGTAGGTATCGTACTAGTATTCGACAACGCAGAGAGACTTAGGGGATCAAATGATTTTGCTGGCATACTCAAGATATCAGAGCTTGCGGGTGTGGCGTGTAATGTGTGTGTGGTGCTGATATCAAATCTTGTGTGGGAAAAATTCGGAGATGGTACATTCATCTCCGACCCCTTACAGGTTGTATTTGATAACTACACTCCTGAACAAGCGAATGTGATACTGGCAAGGCAAAGACCCGCAACGGCCAGTGATTACTTGTATAGAGGGTTCGTACAGGTGATCTGGGATGTATTCTCGCCTGCGTGCACAGATTTACTGGAACTGCATAACATCATCAAGTTGCTCTTTCCTGTTTATAGAGACCCCATTGATTCCGGTCTTTGCACTGAATATGACACGATAAAGCTCTATAAATTCATTGAGCCATACTTCAAAAAAGCTCTGGCAAAACTGTACTTGAAAGACATTGGGGAAGAGGCCTGGGCACAGCAGATACAACACGGCTCTGAGCACACACAGAGAGACACCACAGATACGGAAGATGAACGAGATGACAATGCAGTTGACAATGCAAGTATAGATTCGGAAGGAGAGCCGGTAATCGTAGAAAGTCAGAAAAGTGTGCGCGACAGGGGAAAGGCTATGCTAGAGAAGCGCACAAAGCGAGTCAGCAAATTTGTGGCAGAGATGGACAAGATGCGGCATCTGGACTTGCCTTTCTACTCGCGGTACTTATTGACGGCTGCGTTCCTCGCATCAAACAATCCCGCAAAGACAGACAACCACTATTTCGGTGCGGGCAACGGACGTAAGGCACCCAGGAGGAAAGGAGGCCAAAGGAGACAAAAAGGTGGGTTTGCACTAGTTCTTCTTACCAAGATTGAGAATATGGCGTATATGAAAAGTGCGTATATATAATATATATATATATATATATATATATATATATATATATATATATATATATATATATATATATATATATATATATATATATATATATAAGTTTGCGGATGTTTCTTCGATGTACTTAGTGGTGTGTGGAAGTGGGCGTGAATATACCTATATCGCTGTCCATATTCGTGGTGAAGTGGTGGTTTCCTTTGTGTTTAAAATGCGCACTATTTCAATACGCGCAGTGCGCGACAATGTCTTGTATCGACACGATTTATCCAAGTTCACGTACAAGTGATACCTCTTTCACATCACTCGGTGTGAATATCACTGCAGAAATTATGCAGCACCGGGATTATAATTCTAGTACGTTTGTCCAATTTGCATTGACGTATACAACCAGTCACGACTCTGTTGCCATTTTCAGGGGGATCAATTTAATTAGTTGCGCTTATTTACCCAATTTAGCCGTGCTTGACTACAAATTTCTCGCTCTCGCATACGTTGTTCACGTGCCATCTCTACTCTATCAAGTTTTTAAGTGCTTATCCTTCAAAGTCATTCATCATCTTCGTAGTTTATGCATCTTCGCCCTCCACATTATGCTGTATAGGTGGCTCCGTATAAGCGACCTGCGAAATCATTTCCTGTAGATCGACTACTGGCCATCTTCTTCACCCTGATCGACGAGAGCTCCCCCGATATGGCATTGATCACACTGCAGCTGGAGACGCTCGTGTATTTGGGCCTGCTTACCAAAACATCGGCCGCGGATAGGTAGGTTGAGGTTTTATTTCCAAAATACTATCACAACAATTCCCACGAAATTGCCTACGGGCTATGACTGTGTAATCGTGTGCTGACTAATGCCATCAAACGAAGGACCTTCCGACTTCGCAAAAAAACTGGCCATTTCTCAAGCGATTGCGGTACATGTGCTCGTGATTTTCTGCCATTATCATTTTTAAAATCACGACAAAGTCAAATACCAAAGGTATTGGTAAGCCACTTGTCACATTTGGTAGTGCTTCTTTAATGCTCCATGGTTGTCTATGGCGTTACACACGACAATCACTGACCAATTGTAGCCTGGGGTGTGATACCTGTATGGTATATATCTTACCCGTGATGGGCCAAATGCTACTTTCTTATGATTCCTCTTCTTCGTTGCAGTCTGGATGTAGTGAAGTACCGGTGCGATCTAACGCACGAGTTCATCCTGACTGTTGCTTCAAGTGTGAGTGTTAGCTTAAGCAGCTATCTGTTCGAGGGATGAGAAAGAACGAAATATTATCAATGCGGACCTATAGCATCGATGGAACTAGAGAATGCGCCAAGTGTAAATAGTTTTGTGGAAAGAGGCATGCTGCAACAAGTATGCAAGAGTGTGTTATATGCATCTTTGTCAGGGATGCACCCCTATATTATGCAGGGATACGATGAGCTGTAAGTGTATCGGAGACGCGAATGCTCTGGTGTAAGTCACGAGAGAAGAGCGAAAGCAATTCAGACGATCGCATGAGCCAGTGCTATTCTGTCTTGCTATACGCATCATCGACAGACATACACTAAATGCTTATAAATATAAGCAAGGTGATTACGATGTCATTCTAAAATCTACAGACGAACGTGGTGGTGACTGACATGTTTCCATGTAAGGGTAAAAATACTGAAGTAGATCAGGCAGCTAATTTGCAATTGTGGCGCACTCCCTTGTGTTATAGCCGAATGCCTCCAACGAGCGGGACGTTGCCTTCTAGTCGCACTATGAGGCTGGAAATTTCTGGTGTAGCACCACCAGTAATTTAACTACACAATTCGATTGGGTCACCAGTAAAACGGTTTGAATCGGTATCCCACACGCTTCGCTTGCGAGTGGGATGGAGAATGAAAACATGGGCAATCCACGAGGCACGAACTTTTTAAGTCGGAGAGGCTTGCAGCGGGCGTGACCACAGTCGCCTTATCTGTAATTTTGCATCAGCAGCGTGCGCATTGAAATGAGAGCAGCCAAACGAGGTCACTCATACCCGCCAGCTCAAGTGTTCACGAGAACCATGTTTAGCTTGGAAACTGGTTAAAAAAAAGTCCATAAAACTCACCTTGAGTGTACTTTGCGGTTGGTCTACCTTTTTGATACACCAACCAACCGTATCTATTGGACAAGGTGTTCGCACGGAGAGTGATGGGACACATCTTAGGGCCGTCCAAGAACATATGAACCTACCAGGGAGAGATACTCTGAATACACCAACTCATCCAGTAGTTTTCCACTTTCCCCACCCCAATAGTCCTGAATCTTGTCCTGCGATATATATTCTCTGGTAATAGAGGTGTTCCCCAGCTCCGTTCTGAAAAAAAAACACTTTAGTGTCACTCAAATCAGTACAAGGTAATGAGCCGATGGTCGAGGATTGTTTCGCATACTGCAGCATGGGCTTTGCAAGCCTTGTGAATGAAAACTAATCTTTTAGACCCAAAGAAATAAAGTGGTGCTCAATGAATATATCTAGTACTATGATGCACTGTTTCTTTTTCAAGCAATTTACTTATCTAGGTCTCTTGAGCATCACTAATAGAACGTTTGAAATGAACACGTGTGCAAACAACGTTCGGAGTTCACCGCGTACACTTTTGTTAATGTCTTATAAATGAATAGCATATAGCTTGGAAAATAAGAAAGGCAACGTGGGTAAAGTGAATGTGGTTGACTTTAATTTTATAATAACATATGCCGAATGTTTTCACGAATCTATTTACTCGCTTGTAGACTTATTTCTACATATTATTTACGGTTCAATCCGTGGTCCCCGTCGCCCTTAATAGACCTCAGCAGTCAGAGGACGTGCGGTGATTGGATTGATCATGCTCCTTGTGCATGTCTGAGAATTAGGCGCTAAGTAAGAGAGACCGGCATCATTCCAGACATCCAACAAAGCCTCTGAGAACGTATCTAGCAGATCGGTGGAGTGAGCGGGAGTAGGGGTCACACGGAGACGTTCTTGGCCCATGGGCACAGTTGGATAATTGATACTCTGCACGTATATGTTGTGTTTCTGCAACAACTTGTCCGAGATGGACCGGCAGATCTTGGCGTCGCCGACCCAGATTGGTACAATATGCCCAGGGCTCTCTACCATAGGCACACCCAGCTCGTTCAATCGTGTCTTAAGCTCGCGTACGTGCTGTCTCTGACCATTACGCTCTACCTGACTATTCTTTAAGTATGCGACACTCGCACGCGCTCCAGCGGTCACAGCTGGAGGAAGTGAAGTGGTGAAGATAAATCCAGACCCATAACTACGCACAGTATCTACTAGTCGCTCAGAACCGGCGATGTACCCACCGATAACACCATAAGCCTTGCCCAGAGTTCCAGTAACGATATCGAACTTGTCCATCACATGATCTCCCAGTTGCTCGCCTACACCGGCACCCCTGTGTCCGTACATACCAACTGCGTGGACCTCATCAATGAAAGTGAGTGCACCATATCTGTACGGGGCGAAATATCAAAGTATTATCAGACAACTTAATTGGCAAAGTCACACAAAATACCACGTCTTTTGGAAAGTAAGGTACAGGCTAGTTTAGACGGTATACGGATAGAAAACAAAGAAAAGAAAATCACACTTTCTAATACGCAAATATTCTTCAAAAGAAAGGCCTTCGCTTATTATGACGCCAAAACACATACTTGTGTGATACGTCGCAGATCTCTTCGATAGGTGCTATGGCTCCGGACATTGAATATACAGACTCGAAAGCCACGATCTTTGGCCGCATGGGGTCAAGGGCAGCCAATTTCTTCTCCAAATCAACGGGGTCGTTGTGCTTAAAAATAATCTGAACATGATGATTGGAATTGAGTGACTGAAACTAAGTACGTGGGAATAGAACCACCTTTACTCCTTGAGAAAATGGCTACAAAACCCAGCGATTCTAGCTCAGGAGACAGTATAATATATGTGCATTAACCGAGAGCAACTATACAGAAGGAAGATGCGCTCACAACACACCTTCTCAGCCCGGCTATTCACCACACCCGCAATCATGCTTGCGTGATTCTGTTCGTCACTCAGAATTACGCAGTTAGGCAAAGTCTTCGCCAGTGTCTGGAGCGTGGTATCATTGGCCACATAACACGAGGTGAACACCAACGCTGCGTCCTTCCGGTGCAAGTCTGCAAGCTCATCTTCTAGCGCATGATGGAAGCGTGTGTTGCCGCTGATATTACGAGTACCTCCAGACCCAGCCCCGTGTCTAAGCAGCACATCCCGCATAGTGTCGACCACTACAGGGTGTCTGGACATGCCCAAATAATCATTGGCACACCACACAGTTATGTCCTCCTTCTCCTTACCCTCGGCCCGAGGAAAGTTCTTGGCCAAGCGATTGATGTTGTTAAACACACGGTACGAGTTGTCATCCTTCTTTTGATTGATCTTCTTCTCAAAGAAATTCTCGTAGTCAAAGGCTGAAGGAATTACATCTGAGCGCAGAATAGCGTCGACATTCTGAAGCTTCGCCCACTCCTCGCCCACAACTGGGCAGGCGCTTAGGTGCTGTACGTGCTCAGGATGAGTACGTTTGAGGTTTTGATATGCCTCATGTGCTTTTTCCTTCGCTGCGATGGAAGAAGAAAATAGAGAAACAATTGCATTAACCGACTGCGCTAGTTATTGAGCGAGGTAACTCTTCCGCAAACTTCGAGAGCTTTGTAGTTATGGACATGTACCAACACAAACAATAACAGCCGACAAAAGGAGCACTCTAATGACCAGAATACAAAGCCATAAAATGCAGGCGCTAGCGCGCACTTAAAATGAGCATCCAGTCAAGTCGGGTTCAGCTCCGGTCACGCACCTGATACAGATATTCAATAAGACGTCGCGCAGACAATACTAATCGATGAACAGGACGAGGCGGAATGAACAGGGAGAGAGATTATAAGGTATAATGATGGATGAAAGACTCCCCAAGTTGCATACCTGCAGCGTCAAACACGGTAGGCTCCAAAAGGTGCTCCACAGATGGCGTAGGCGTGATAGGGTCAGAAACTGGCTCGGCAACGACGGCTTCGGATGCGGCACTGTTAACTGAGAGAGTAGCCTTGTGCATGATGGGGCAGCGACTGACAAGTGCGTTGAGCTGGTGCGTCTGAGCGGGTACAGCGGTACCAGTGCGTTTCATGAAGGGGCAGTGACGGCCGAATGAGCGGATCATAGAGGCAGACATGACGGCAGACGTTCTGATGAGGATTATACCTATTAAGCTAAGTAAACCGGAAGATATATGTATTATATAGTGTATAACGAATCTGATAAAGTAATAAGAATCGCTTTTCGGGCAACAACTACCTCACTGGATAATGTGTTGGCACCAGTCTGTACTGATTTGAAATTTCGCGGGTGTACCCGCTATTATCATTTGTAAATAGGCTCAGAACGTTCTCGGAAATCAGGACGAGCACTTTTTTTAGTTCATTGCTGTGACTGTGGTGTGTGGACTGGACTGAAGGTCACGGTGGACAGTTAGGCTTCAGGCCACTACTGTGAGTAGCCTCTCACTTGTTTGAGCCTTTGGGTCTGTTGTCCAGTCACAGTGTTGTGTTTGGGAGATATGTAAGGATATTTTTTTTGTCACCCATTAGCACATACATAGTGGAAATTGGGCCTCAACAAGGTTTTCTTACTACAGAGAAAAAACCTGAATATCTAATAATGGCGATGTACTGCTCCAAACTCATCAATGTCCCCACTCTCCAGTCCAGAACTCCAGGTCCTGCAGGACGACGACTTGAGCAAGTTGTGCTATTTTTAAATATTACTCATTCTCGGAGGAGTTGATTGCCGAATTGGGCTAAAAAATACAGTAACATTGCCGAATATAAGTACTGCGACATCACACAGTCATACGCTTTAAAAAACGTATTACCACTTGTTTTTTAAAATAAATCAATAAATCAGTACACATGTGGCGCACACGGCGCCAGGCGGGCCGCGGCCTGGTTTATTATTGTACCCAATTATGCACGTCAGTGCGTGCCAACCTTACTCAAGTTCTTTGGATCATTAGCGTCATATCCTAAACTTAAACTGACCAGTGACGAGGCGAAGGCAGTTTTTAATCATTTGTCGACAGAAAATTGAAGAAGAAAACCCCCCGGGTCGCGAAACAGGAAAAACTCAACTGAAAAAGTAGATTCGAAATTTCGATTCGCCTGGAAATTGTGGAACGTGTGACGTCGATTTATAAAAGCGGTTTTTATAAATCACGCCAATGGAATCACTTGATGACTATGGGTTTTCCTCTACAACTCCGTTGAAAACCTTTGAGAATTCACTGGCTTTGAGATTCAAAATTATTATAACACGATATTTTAGAAATACAATTTCTATTGGGTTAAAACTGTTCAGCGAATCACAACTTGGTTAAACCGACTCGCGATTAAACCAATTTTGATTTTAGAGCGGAAGCTGTGCATTTTTTAAAAGCCATAAAGCCGTATGGCCGGAACTTCTCGGAAGTCGGAAGCCGGATCAGTGATCAGTGGACAGTGTCCACTCGGAAGTCGGAAGTTCGGAACTTTCACACTTCACAGATTGTTATTATTTTTGTAACTTATATTTTTCACTAAAAACCCCCTCCAAAAATCAGCGTATTCACGGTAGTCTGCACAATGTCTATTTTATTATGAAAACGACTCGGACTAAATATATGAGGGAATAATTGATCACCCTAGAATTCCTAAATATTGCACCTTCATAGTTCATTCAGGATCATAAATACAATTTTTTTATGTTTAGTTGGCTGGGTGCCTGGGTCACTTCAACATTTATAACTTATTTATATATATATATATATATATATATATATATATTATATATATATATATATATATACTTTAACCCCCCGTCCGTCATACAACAAATATATATATATAAA